CACCGCCCACGGGCCGGCCTGCGTCTGGAGAGCCGGCAGCAACTCCCTGGCGGCGTGCTGGGGCTAACGAATCTCTTTAGCGTTAGTGGAGCGGGCGAGCGAGCGAGCGGCAGTGGGGGGGAACCGAGACCCGAACGCGCGCGGGACGAGCCGAGCCGGGGCCGAGCCGGAGCCACGGGGGGGGGGGGGGAAGAGAGCGTATTATCAGTATTTTAATGGCGAACTTAGAGAACCGAAGACATTTTTTAGAAAAGAGGGAAGAAGTCAGCCTGATATGTAGTCGACGAAAAATTGTTCGAACTGCCTCGATTCGCTCTAGAAATCCCATAAGCGAGGATTCTCGCCTCCGCAGAGCAAGAACTTGCTGTAAATTTCCTCGCTCTCCGGAGAGCGAGGTTCGATTTCCTTGCTCGATTAGAGCGATGGATTAAGGAATGTCACTCTATTTGAGTAATGATTGGGGATGTGTGTTTTGAAGTTTTGAAGGTTTTTTGAGTGAGGATTCCTGAAGTCAATCTCTCTTCACACGTTCCCATCGGCGTGACCACTATGTGGTCACGCCCCCCCAAAAAAACCAAATGTACAGCCGCAGTGAACGTGTTAATTTGAGTGAGGTTTAAGAATACTCACCCAAAGTGCGTAACCCGGCGACCGGGTGCGCGACGCCGGTGTCTCATCATACTGATAAATAACTTCCTTTAGAAGAGACGGTTCGTCAAAACAGAGGGGGGGGGGGCAGTTTTAGGGGAGGTTAACAACTCCTCTCGTCAGCTGGACCCACTGGACGGTTTCTTGTACCACCTACTTTTTCCCACTCCCCGGTCCCCCGCCGTGCTCCCCCCTCTTAGTGGAAGTCGTAAGGGAAAACCCACTGCACTTTTGCGTAGAAGCATGAAACTTTGCACACTTGTACATTGGTACCTAAGGATCGATTTTTCAAGTGGAGGCAATCGATTTGTCCCTTAGGGTTCAAAATGGCGGCCATTTTCCAAAATGGCGGTTGAATAACCACTTAGGCCCCTTTGTATTGCTTCCTGTACATATTCCGGTCTGATATTCGTGGGGTAAAGATGCTATTCGACAGAGGAAGGTGTGCGGAATCCGACGCTGAAGTCGGATTTCAAGTATCTCGTCTAGATTTTGAGCAAAGGCCGGATGAAACATTTCGTACTTTTTGTGAAAATAGTTAAAGTTTGGTTTTACGACTGTAGATCCATTCCGAGCAGGTTTTTCGAAACGTCGGTCCTTATAAATGTTGTCGGCCGTGCCTTTACGAAGAGAATGAGCTTTCGTGGAGCTCTGTATGTCTTTGAGTTTTACTTCTAGAGCAATTCAAAGCTCACCATGCAGCTTGTGTTGACGCCTCCGAGGGCGTCCTTCCCAAAAGAACACGTGTATTTTGTACAGAGGACACCAGTGTTTCCCAAGCTTTCAAAATGTGCACAGATGCTATTTATGCCTCTACTAAGAATTTGTCACCAGCAGGCTATCTTTAAACTAGCTTGAAGGGGGTGAAATCAACCCCCTTATAAATACACACAAATCCCCTAAGGCGCGGGTAGGCAATCCGCCTAACTTTCTCGTTTTTCCGCAAACTTTACACCCTCCAAAACCGACCAAAATCAATTTCTAGAACGACGTGGCTTTGCTGGTAGGTTCTTAAAGTGCCTTTAAAGGAACTCCGAACGGGAGGCAAAATGCATTTTCAACCTGATGGCGTACAGAACACTTGCAATTTGCCATGCTAATCACCCGTAAAGAGTACATAAGAAATTCGTACACCCAGAATAACGCTTCGACTTAAATTTTCCAGGTGCCTCCCGTTCGAAATTCCTTTAAAGGCACTTCAAGAACCTACCAGCAAAGCCACGTCGTTCTAGAAATTGATTTTGGTCGGTTTTGGAGGGTGTAAAGTTTGCGAAAAAACGAGAAAGTTAGGCGGATTGCCTACCCGCGCCTTAGGGGATTTGTGTGTATTTATAAGGGGGTTGATTTCACCCCCTTCAAGCCAGTTTAAAGATAGCCTGCTGGTGACAAATTCTTAGTAGAGGCATAAATAGCATCTGTGCAAATTTTGAAAGCTTGGGAAACACTGGTGTCCTCTGTACAAAATACACGTGTTCTTATGGGAAGGACGCCCTCAGAGGCGTCAACACAAGCTGCATGGTGAGCTTTGAATTGCTCTAGAAGTAAAACTAAAAGACATACAGAGCTCCACGAAAGCTCATTCTCTTCGTAAAGGCACGGCCGACAACATTTATAAGGACCGACGTTTCGAAAAACCTGCTCGGAATGGATCTACAGTCGTAAAACCAAACTTTAACTATTTTCACAAAAAGTACGAAATGTTTCATCCGGCCTTTGCTCAAAATCTAGACGAGATACTTGAAATCCGACTTCAGCGTCGGATTCCGCACACCTTCCTCTGTCGAATAGCATCTTTACCCCACGAATATCAGACCGGAATATGTACAGGAAGCAATAAAAAGGGGCCTAAGTGGTTATTCAACCGCCATTTTGGAAAATGGCCGCCATTTTGAATCCTAAGGGACAAATCGATTGCCTCCACTTGAAAAATCGATCCTTAGGTACCAATGTACAAGTGTGCAAAGTTTCATGCTTCTACGCAAAAGTGCAGTGCGAAATCAGAAATTGTACTATCCTGCTTCCACTATCTCCTATCCACCGTTCACTCACCTCTTAATAATTGAGGGAGAGGATAATGTCGCAGACAGCGAGACGCCGCGCTGTCTCCCTTCCAGCCGTCGAGGGGACCTCCCACCGCCTCTCCTCTGATGGGGTTCTGGCAGCCACGCCGTGTTACAATGATTACAGCGCAAGTACCCTAAAGACCTACACTGTAACCAAAAAAAAGCGTCACCACCTCACAACATTTCCTCTCCTAAATTCACAGATGTGTCGCCATTTATACTTCTTCACGTGAGAAGTGCATTGTCACTTTATATATAAGTCGTCAAAGAAGTGCACTGTTTAAAAAAATGTAAATTAACAAAGAAAGTGCAGTTGAGGTTGTTAGCAACACTTGCTGTTTTTTTACAACAAATGTTGTAAAATCACCACATTGGTAAAAAAAATCTCGGAAACAAAGTTTCTAATCGAAAAACAGTCACTTTTGTTCTGCTCCTGGAAAAAAAGGTGTGTTGTTTTTGAACGAAATGTGTTGCTCACAAAATTAACAACACCTTTCTTATACATGCTAATAAACATGCTAATTTAAAGTTTGGTTTGGTGACACACCGAAAGCTTCCTGAGAAGACTTTGGAAACGGAAACGGCCCGAAAACCGCATCGGTTTGTCGATAAAATATCGCGACGAATCATGGACGAAGATATGACGCGGGCCCTTTTCACATTAAAACAGCTTCGTTAACAAGAAAAATCGCGCTCGCTTCGCTATCGCGAAACGCATTTCATTTGGGTGGTAAACGAGGAGTGAATC